TGTGCTCACCGCGTAGCTGCGTGGTCTTCTTGGGGTGGCGTTGGACTCCTTATATAACTTCTGTCTGCTCCATGACCACTATATTCTGTCGATGTGGGACAAAGAATTCTATCGTTCCTTAATTACAGTAGACTCCTCTTCCCCTCCCCCTGCTACTTCTTGAAACACGTGCACCAAAGCTTACTTCTTCTCCTGATTTCTGACTCTCTTTGATTTGCCAAAAAAAAAAAAAATTTCATAAGTTGGCAGCGATAGAAGCCGAACTCCAAAAGCAAAGAGAAGTAAGGAAATTGTACAAGATGCAGCTAGAGAGGACACGAGATTACCTAAGGAACTGCCTTCAAATAGCGCAAGACAATGGTTTCTTGGACATATTTACTGGCAATATCAGAGATAAACCCCAAGAATCCCAATCCCTTCTCCCACCTCATGCTATCAACAGCCTTGTTAGCAGTCCCAGAGGACCACAGTCCACAGCGCAGCCCCATCCACATACCAGTCTTGCTGCCCTCATTGCTCAAGCAAAATTGCTCGGATGGTACATTGAGCCCGATGAGGTTAGAGAACATGGAAATTTTTGCTTTTCTTTTCTTTGCCACGATAGTAATAGTAGTGTCCATTGAAAATAGCTTGAACTGCAAGAAGTAGTAGCTCAGGGAACGACAGCAGATGTATATAGGGGAACATGGAGAGGACTTGATGTTGCAGTGAAGTGTATCTTCCCCAATTTATTCGAAACAAATGAGCACATGCTTGGCTTCTTTGTTCAAGAGGTTGAGACATTGTCGAGGCAGCGCCACCCCTTTGTGCTTCAGCTGATGGGGGCTTGCCTTGAACCCCCAAGCCATGGTTGCATAGTCACTGAATTCTTGAGTACAACTCTCAAAATTTGGTTACACGGTCCGGGCAGCAGAAGGAAAGAAAGAATGGTTCCCCTTCCGCCCCTCGAAGACAGGCTACAAATGGCCCTAGAGATTGCTCAAGCAATGCAGTATCTTCATGAGCAGAAGCCTGCAAAGGTTATCCATCGTGATTTGAAACCTAGCAACATTTTTCTTGATGATGACATGCACGTAAGGATTGCAGACTTTGGCCATGCTCGGTTCTTGAATGATGGCGAAAAGGCACTCACTGGAGAAACAGGCAAGCATGCAGTAGCATTCTTTCAATACGTGTAGTAGGCATTGATTTCACTATACACTGAATCAGTTGATAACATTTAACCTTAGGGCAATGTGAAACGTGTATGAAAATCAGTAGTTTTGGTAGATATAACTATTATTATTGAATGAAGTTTTGATTTTTCAGGTACATATGTTTACATGGCTCCGGAGGTAGTCCGTTGTGGACCTTATGATGAAAAGAGTGATGTTTATAGTTATGGTGTGATACTCAATGAGCTGATTACGGGTGAACATCCATACATTGAAACAGATTATGGCCCTTCAAGGGTATGTTGAAAACTCTTAGCTTATGTGTACTGAAAATTTCTAATTCAATTCCCAAATTCAAATTGTATTAGCATCCAGACAGTTTCTTGTAGTTTCAAATATTTCCTATGCTAATCAATGAGTGTATCCTTTCAATTCTTGCATGTTCCTGAAAAATGCATTAGAATACTACTCATCCTGCTTCTTTTTGCTTGACAGATAGCCATGGAAGTGGCAAACAATGGACTTAGACCGGCGCTTCCAATGCATGATGCTGAGAAACTAAAAGAGCTTCTTGAACTTATTCGAAATTCTTGGGATGAAGATGCAGCAATAAGACCCTCCTTTGCAACCATAACCTGCATCCTCAGAAGTATTAGAAAGAGATTAGCGGATGCTCAATAACTAGTTTTTTTTATCAGACGACAAGAGTTAGCCTAGTCTACTTCTACTCCTACTTTTACTCCTACTCTAGTCTACCTAGGGGCTACTATTAAGATACCCTTTCTTGTTATGAATAACTAATATTAAGTTACTCTTTCTTGTTTTGTCAGAAAAAAAAAAAAAAACTCTTTCTTGTTATACTATCAAGAGTTTGAACCAAATAATCATCTGCATGCAGTGCAACAGTGGTAATCATTTCCAAGTAAGAACATATATCTAAAAAGAGATCCATTCAAATTGAGAGGCCTGAGCAGCATTTTGGAGTAAAAGATTTAAACCATGCAGGATTGGCTCAGTTCAATCTCTTTTCAAGGCCCAAGATTTGATACCCTTGAATATCACTAACTGTATGGGCCCCCTGCGCTTACAAAATCCATTATTCCATTAGAGTTTAAGCTTGCGTCATGCAATGAAATATAAATATGTAAATCTTCAAATAGAATGAGATCATATTTTTTACTATTGAATCCTAGAGAGCAAGATGATTTAAGCTTACGTCATGCAATGAAATATAAATATGTAAATCTTTCAATAGAATTAGATTCACGTTATAAATGCCTTAAAATGTAATATGCTCGTCAAATTGCTCGTTTTTGCTTTGGTGTTATAAATCTTTTTTTACACCGATAGCTATAAAATATGAGATTCAAATTTAGATATTGCAACAAACATTCAACTTCATTAGTGTACAAGTTGACGGTGTAAAATAGACATCTTCATGGTATTTTTTCCTAACAAGAATGATCCTTGCATACTTTTGAAAGGCCGCCAGGTTCGACATCTGTTCTTAAACAAAGACAGTTCCAGCTAGCGTGGATGGCGGCAATTTAAACCTGAAAAACTGTTGTCTTAGTGTCGCAAAACTTCAACTAAACTTTTACTAAATTAGAGGTAGAAGTCAAGACGAGCAAGCAAATTTTGAACGTGAATATTTAATTCATACCCAACATTTCATGGAGTCTTTACACACACACTCGTGTGTAACCATGGGTCCACTGAATTTGGTCTACAGGTTACAGGACCACCGCACAATAGCTCCATGCTCTAAATAGGAAAACACTGTGGAGTAAGCAAATGAATTCATGTTGGATGTTGCACTATAAATAAGATGACTACGAAGGTGTTTAGTTTTCTATTCCGTATTTGATATAAATTGGTATCGGACTGATAAACCCTATTATGAGCATGAGCTTTAGTCGTTTTTCCATGTATGTTTAGTTTAAATGTAAAATGAATTTTATTTCATTAAACGGTTTGAAACTCAAATTATAAGTGAGGAACGAGAATAAACAAGATTTAGCGGTTGCATTTTCATTGAATGATATACATTATGGTTTATCAAAGGAAAAATCTGTCAAAACGTCCTCCACATTTCGTTAAATGAATTTTTTCATCCCTCACTTTTAAAATGATGATACTTTACATCGCTTATAAAATTGGGTAGGTAAAATTTGATCCCAATCTAAATTTTCGACTATATTTTTTTCATGAATCCATCACGTGATCCATATATACATGGTCATTGTTTTAAAGCTAAAAATTTAAATTTTATTTATAGTTAATAAGTGACTTGATTCATATTCACTTTTATCTCAAAAAAAGGAAGATTTGAATTGAACTATATTCATTTTTTTTTTGCAAAAAAGTAAAGATTTGACTCGATCTATATTTATTTTTGCCAGTAAAATTTTAGATCAGAATCAAATTTTGCTAACTTAAATTTATGAGGGGCATAAAGTTATTATTTTAAAGGGATAATTTCAGAGGTTTCTGATTATTTGACTGGCCTCCCTCCAGGTTTCAAAATTTATGCTAATCTCCCCTGAGATTAATTATCTTGTAACACTAAGACCAACCAATAATTAAAAAGTAATATTAAAAGAGAGACAATAATATGATTTCATCATTACCCTTCATATACTGTACTATTTAATTAATATAATACCAACCCACACATTAAAGAAGAATACTAAAATTTGCTGTTTATCATTAGGGATAAAATCATATATAGAATAAAAAAAATATACCATTTTATATTTTTTTACTTAATATAATATCCAAATTACTCTTTTTAATTATATACCCATAATCAAACATGATCAACAACAAATAATCAAAAGATTGGCAACCAAAATACTACAGAAAACAAATTTTAACATCATAAATATTCTTGTCAACATATTGAAGTTAGTTGCTGAGTTTTTTATGGTATTAATATTCGCTCTTTGTAATATTTTGGTTACATAATTTTTTAATTATCTGTTGTTGATCATGTTTAATAATGAGTTTGTAATTGAAAAGAGTAATTTGAATCTTATGTTAAGTAAAATATATAGAATGATATACTATTTTTGATACTACATGTGATTTAATCTCTGATGATAAACAGTAAATTCTAGTGTTTTCTTTAATGTTTGGCCGGGTATCTGTTTAATTAAACAATTTAATAGATGAGCGTGGAATTATATTATTTTCTCTTTTCTAATATTACTTTTTAATTATTGATTAGACATAAATATTATAAAATAATAAATCTCAAGGAAGGTAAGTATAATTTTTAAAAGTTAGAGGGAGGTCAGTAAAATAATCAGAAATCTAAGGAAAGATTGAAATCAAAGTAAAGCACCGAAGAATACATTTAATGAAACGTAAGGAATGTTTCGAATCTTTTCTGAACATTGGGGACTTATTATTTTTCTTTCAATTATTAACTCCGATGATAATCATCCATGCCTTGTACACCCATTTACCAGACACGTGGGGACTTTATATGTTTTTCTTTCTTTCCCTCTTTTTGGTTTCAAATTAGCACCTCCGCTTTTGTTTAACCTTGTGGATTTTCATTTCCTTTCCTTTCCTTTCCTTTCCCTTCTAATCCCTTCTAAGCATATTGGCGCAGCCTTCTTGTGGGTGAACATGCCGATGCGGTCAAAGAAATTTACTGCTCCTACTACAAATTCGTCATCAACCTACTGTCGCCTTTTGTAGTTAATTACTATTTTACTACCAGTCCAGTGTCATGATCAACGGTAATATGTTCGACCACGTTGTCGTACCTTGTTCACCAACCTCCCCAGATTCAAATGTTCTTCCTGCTGTCACTATAGAAGTCAGCTTTTCCAGTTTCCCTCGAAAAAAGAAACCGGATTCTCTCTCTCTCTCTCTCTCTTCTGTGTCCCAGAGGTAGAATGCGGCGCGGCTCAAAACCCCAACCTTTCAGAAAACCTCAGCAAGAAACCCATTACCCTCTACTCTCTACCCCTAAACCGTGTTTAAACTAGAAGAATATTAAAGCAAGCACTGCATTAATCACTCGTTAGCTCACAAGTCTTCTTTTTCTGCCGAACCCCTCTTTCTTTTCCCTTCTTTTTTGTTGTTCAGTTAGCCTCAGTCTCCTTATGCCCTTCATACTAAGCCCTTTCAACAACAACCTGCATCTCTGTTTCTGGCAATGAGCTCCTGCTAAATCTCCATTGGTAAAGCATATATTGGCGCCTGCAGGTATGTTACGTCAACTATCCATGAAAGGGGGGGGGGGAACCAGTAAGAACAAAAGGAAAGAGAGAATCACTCAAGACATTAGTGATTATGTTTCGTTTTCCTTAGCTGTACTGTGCCTTTTGAAGTGCCCAAGCTGAAATGGTTTTTTCTCTGTATTTTATGATGTGGGACGGTTTAGTTGGTAAACAAGTTTTAATTTTTATACGTTCTAATGCTGTCTGCTAGTAGTACTTTATTGTTTTTCAGGGCTTCGTTTGATTAATTCCTTTTGGCATTAAGTGCGAAGTGGGCTCTTCCATTTTCTTTTGGGGGAGTAATAATCTGCTCTTTTAAGATAAAAGTAAAGACTCGATTTTGAATAAAAACAGTTGCTTTTCAGCAAACATTCTAGTGAGATTTACATGCTGCTGATGAAGGAGGGCAAACATATGATTAATGTCTCAGCTATTTGGTAATTTCCGTGTTTGATCTGGTAGGGGAATAAATGGATGCCAATACTAAAGCTTCTAAGCAGAGTGGGGAAATCAGCATGGCAGAAAACAAGAAAACATCAGGTGAAGTGGTTGTGCCTATCTCTGGCGATGAAAAAGATCCTAAGAAACCACCTCCAGCTGCTTCACCGGTGAGGGCATCAGTTGATTCTCCTTCAGGTGCTCAAAGGGCCGTGCCTGTAAGTTTTTCTTCCCCTGAAGCTGCTAGCTATAGTCCAAGCGCCAATAAGCCTCCAAAAATTCCCACAACTGATACCCTCACTAGGAGAAAATCAATTGCAAGGTCTGTCTACTCGAAACCCAAATCAAGATTTGGTGAACAATCTGTCCCTGTTGATACTAACATGTTTGATGAGGATATTTCTATAATTCAAGAGCATGCTGAACCAAGTTGCAGTTCACCTTACAGAAATTTATCTAATCAGCCTTCACCTAATGATAAAATGGGTTCCAGTAATGCCAACACATTAAAAGAGACTATTAGGAATGTACCAATTACCCCCAAGACACCGTTGATGGCATCACCTGGTGGTTTTGGAGGAGCAGATGAGGATGAGGAGATATATAAGAAAGTGAGTCTCCGGAACAAATTAAGATATCACAGAGTGAAAGTCAAGGTTTTGATTGAATGGTTTGTGTTTGCCTGCATTTTGGGATGTTTCGTAGCTAGCTTGACTGTTCATAAGCTGCGACAGTGGACAATTTGGGGGCTGGAGATTTGGAAATGGTGTGCTCTTGTAATGGTGACTGTTAGTGGCATGTTATTTACAAAGTGGCTTGTTCTTTTTGCTGTGCTGTTGATTGAGCTGGCCTTTTTGTTGAGAAAGAAGGTATTGTATTTTGTGTATGCTTTGCGGAAGAGTGTGCAGTTCTGTATGTGGTTGAGTTTGGTTCTTCTCACTTGGGTTCTGCTATTCAGGAGAGGCGTCGAGCGATCCCGCCTTGCCACAAAGATTTTGGATTACATTACTTGGACAATGGTAACTTTCCTCATAGGGGCATTCTTGTGGCTCTTGAAGACTCTGCTGCTAAAGATTTTGGCATCTTCTTTTCATGTTAATGCTTTCTTTGATAGGATTCAAGAATCAGTCTTCCATCAATACATTTTACTAACACTATCTGGGCCTCCAGTTATGGAGTCGGCTCAAATGCTTGGCAGAGCAAATAGTACCGTCAGTCAATTTAGCTTCAGGAGAACAAAGGCAGGGAAAGATGGAAAGGAAAAGAAGGAAAAAGCAGTTATTGATATAAATAAGCTTCATCAGATGAAACGTGAAAAGGTCACAGCTTGGACCATGAAAATGTTAGTGGATGTCATATCTAATACAGGTCTAACAACCTTCTCTGGTACCCTTGGCGAAAGTGTTTATGATGGAGGAAATGAGCAATCCGACAAGGAAATTACTAATGAAGAGGAAGCAATTGCAGCAGCCTATCACATTTTCAGAAATGTAGCTCAGCCTGGTTGCAGGTGAGAAATGCTCTTTTCTAGCTATTACTTTCTATTCCTCTTTATCTATTGATTTTCACTTTGAAAATTTTTTGTCTTGGCAACTAATTGTTAGGAATGTTAATCCATGAAGGTACATTGATGAGATGGATCTAAGGAGATTCATGATTAAAGAAGAGGTGGATATTGTCTTACCAATGATCGACGTGGCTGAGACTGGACAGATTGACAGGAAAGCTCTGACACACTGGGTGGTACGTAGGACCTTTCTTAAACATTGCAGGAATAAATGCATTTTTTTTCCTGATTTATGATGAATCTTGGATTGGTTGGTACACTTGTTGATTAGAGAAAAATACTTTTTAAGTGTTGAATAGATAGTTCTACATATGGAGATTAAACTCTGGATGCAATCTGAATGCAATTTCAAATGCTCCACTCTTTTCCTACTATCTTTCCGGCAACTATATGAAGCACAAATGCCTCTTTTCCTTGTTGTCCACTGATGTTCGCATTTGTCCTATTTAGCACACTGGAATTTATGCTCTGAGTTAATAAACAGTATCATAACATATCTCATTTGATAGTCTAAACAGAAAAAGGTCGAAAGAAGGCAATGGAAAGCAACTTAATTCATCCAACTACTTGAACCTGTCATACTAGTTGTGTAGTAAAACTTTTTCCTATTGTAATGATTGTTGAGGAAATCCCTTCTTCCCCCGCCCTCACTCGTGCTCACACATACAAAGACATGTTCTGACTTCTCTTTTTTCTGCATGCTGTACAGGTAAAAGTTTATAACGGTCGTAAAGCCTTGGCGCATGCTTTAAATGACACTAAAACTGCTGTGAAGCAGTTGGGCAAGCTTTTTACGGCAATCTTAATTATCATAATAATAATCATATGGCTTCTTTTAATGGAAATAGCAACGACCAAAGTGCTTGTCTTTCTGTCATCACAGCTTGTGTTGGCAGCTTTTATGTTTGGGAATACTTGCAAGACTATCTTTGAAGCTATTATATTTGTGTTTGTGATGCATCCTTTTGATGTTGGTGATCGTTGCGTAGTCGATGGTGTCCAGGTAACTTTGATGATCTGTTTAGCTTTCTCTGCTAATGAGCTCTTTATGAATGTTTTTTCTTACCTTAAACTCTTACAGATGGTAGTAGAGGAGATGAATATCTTAACAACTGTCTTTCTCCGCTACGACAATGAGAAGATATACTATCCAAATTCTGTTTTGGCTTCCAAGCCAATCAGCAATTTTTATAGAAGCCCTGACATGGGTGATTCCCTTGAGTTCTCTATTGATTTCAAGACACCACTGGAATTGATAGGAACTCTAAAAGACAAAATAAAGAAGTGAGTTTGATATTGCCTTTTTCTTCACTTGCAGTACTTGTCAATTCATTATTTATTTAACATTATGCTCCTTCATTTTGAAAAGTTCAGAATATTGTATTGCTTCTGGCTCTGCTTAGCAACTAGGCAGCCACAACTAGCTCTTCTTAAACTTTAGATTCTACTGAACTGTTCCCTTCATTTCATTATCGTGTTGAACTTGTATGATGCTTTATGTCAAAGCTGCAGTCAAATGCACAGTTAGATTGAGAAGAAGAGAACAATTTCATGTTGTTGCCTGGTGCCAAATCTTGATATCTATAATAGATGTTGGGCAGGACGCATTGCAGTGTAAGATACTAAGTGAATTTCTGCAACAAAAGGAGAATAATGCTTAGCTTACTAAAAATGTTGGCCCTCCCATGGCATGAAAATCACATGACTGGATGCGCTTGGATGCTTTTTGGCCTGTGATGTTTGAATTCACAATCCTTTGTGTCCCACAGAAGCCTTAGTGCAGTTCTTTGATTTTCTTTTCATTAAGTGGCTGACAGTGCAGTTTTGCATTGTGCAATTCTAGACATATCCTTTACAGCAATGACACCAGTCACCATAAATGGTCATATAGTATTTAGACATTTACAGTTAACAGTGCATAAAATCCTTCATCTGCTGTTAATTGTGGGAAGATATCGACTTAGCTCCTCCTAGAACACATCCAGCAGGCAATCATCAGGTTTTAAATTATGTTGCCTGAAAGTGCATGAAATGAATTCAGTTACATGCATACACCTCTACATGCTACTTGTATAACGCCCTTCTGCTGTTAAAGGAGGTATAGGATGCAATGAGGGGTTTCCCTGCTATTCCACCCTCTCATGTACCTAAATAATGCACCACAAAAAATATAAATGCCTTTTCCAGCGTGTTTTATTAAAAGAATGCAAGTTGGTCCCCTGAAACTTATGGTTTTCCTCATCAATAAAAATGTTTTCTTATGGCACCCTTTAGGGCTTTTACATGTTTACTCCAACATGGTTATGTCTGTATCTGACCACCTTCTAAGCTTATATTTCTTCTATTTCTGGCATATGAGTTGTATTGGTGGAATGCATGAATAAGGGCCTCAAAGGTGTTTATGAACCACCTGTAATGAGCTGATTGTATGTTTTAAGCTAAATGCTGTTTTGAGCTGTTCAAGTTTGTACTGCTTAAGCTTAAAGATGCTGATCAAAAGCAGCAATTTAAGTATTTGTAGAAGCTGCCAAAGTTTCTGGAGATTATTACTAAGCGGCATTATATTGGACGTTTGGAAATTAGAGCGCATGCATCTAGGGTAGTCTGCTGCTGTTATTTGTGCACTAATCCTATTATTATTTCTTGTGTGCTTAGGTATTTGGAGAAAAATCCGTCGTATTGGCATCCTAATCACAGTGTGGTGGTAAAGGAGATTGAGAATGTGAACAAGATAAAGATGGCTATTTTTTTCAACCATACAATGAACTTTCAGGACTATGGGGAGAAGAACAGGCGGAGATCTGAATTGGTTCTAGAGATTAAGAGAATTTTTGAGGAGCTAAAAATCAAATATGACCTCCTTCCGCAAGAAGTTCACCTTGTTGAATCAAAATCAGTAACAACTGGGAGCAGCAGATGACCTTATCTTCTTTCTCAAAAATCAGTTTGTCTCTGACATGTTGGAAGGGAGCAGTTCACTTATAGGTGACATTTCCAGGGTAAACAGCAGTTCACTTTCATGTATTTCTGCTAGGGGCTGATTATACTTTCACGTTCTTCATTATGTTGCAGATACCTGTGGTTGAAGAAATGAGAAGCTTACTTTCTTGCTGTTAGTGGTCTTTAGTTGAGCTAAAAGCAATGGCGGAAGAGTATCCATCTTTACTAAATTTTGAGGGATTAATGGCTTACCTGAAACACAAGACATTTCTACTGGCACATTTATGTGACTAAATGGGAGGAGTAGAATTGTATTTCGAAACTAATCTATTGTTAGTAGCCTGCTATTGCAGTAGAATGATCTCATATAAAGCTTCTTGTGGAACCACGATTGGAAACTCCATGTTATACATGTTCCTAACTCAGAATGCTTCCAGTTTTAAGTCCCTGGAGTCTTGCTACGAGGTGGCAGCTGCTGCAGGCTAAGGCGTTCAACGATCTGGTTCGCTGCTTCTAAAGTGCCTAGCTAGTACCATCATCAGAGATTCAAATAAATCATGAGAGATTGGCAAATGAGTCGAATCATATACTCAAGAAGTTTATTACTAGTTTATTAGAGCAAATCTAAAGGGTCGACAATTATCAAGTGGATCGGTAACTGAGATCAGCAATGGTTTCCACACCTTGCATTGGTATTTTGAAATGAAATTCTTAGGTTTGTGGGGTAAATTCAGCTAATCTTGCTAAATGAGGTTCTAATGTTTCCTAATTAAGTCAGCTTAATTATGAATTCATTCATTTCAGTCCTTTGATTTTTGTTATATATCTAAGTTTCCAACCGAAAATTCTACTCTTATCTTTCCTCTACGTATGGTATAGGTACATCACTAAACTCATTTGCACCATTCGTCATGAGTTTCTAATTTGTATACGAGCTCAAAGAAGAGGAAAGCCAATTGTGGCCGTCGTGGTGGTGGATGTAATGTTGTTTAAGAAATTCTTGTAGACCAAAATAACTTTAGAAATTCCTCATGGATAACCCTATCCTAAAGAGCTGAGTTGCCAAGTTACTACGTAGCCACTGCTATGACAGGTAAGCAGAAAATCTCAAATTTCCACCTCTCATTCCACTGACTCCAAGTCTTTATCGAGCTAGCCAGCCAGCCACTCAATACTCTTCTAAACAATATGACTTCTTCAAAATTTACACCACTCCCTTCAATTCTTGCAAAAGAGAAAGAAGAAAGAACAGAACAAGAAAAATGGCCTCAGTTTCAATGGCTATGCCTATGACCAATGCAAGCCAGAAGAGGCTGCAGCCGCCAACCTCTGATGCCTTCGTCAAGCCATTGCCAGTGAGGCCATCAAAGGCTGTATTCGTTCAGCCATCAAAGTCCAGAGCCAAGCTTCAAATTGAAGCTTCTTTGAAGGAAAAGGCCATCACTGGGCTAACTGCAGCTGCACTCACAGCTTCCATGGTGGTTCCTGATGTTGCTCAGGCAGCTGGTTCTGACCTCTCCCCATCTCTCAAGAACTTCTTGCTCAGCATTGCAGCTGGAGGGGTTGTCCTTGCTGCCATATTTGGGGCTGTTATTGGTGTTGCCAACTTCGATCCAGTCAAGCGAAGTTAGATAAAAGTATGTTATGGGATACTTGTCATGGTTCTTGATTTATCTATCTTCTTCTTCTTCCTGTCCTAATTACCTTTTTTCGATTGATGTTATATGCTTCTTGATTTTACTTCTTCCACATGAACTCGTCTGATGATCATGCACCACCTGTGTGCAATATTCAAGTAATCTGATGTTGATAACACAGTCAAAACGCAAAGCATCAATTATTCCAACTTCTGGGTTCGAATTTTGGGAATATCTTTGTATTATATGGTTGTTGGCTCATTATTCATACATTTTTCTTGAAGTAGATTGATTGAAACAGAGTTTTTGGTACTACGTGGGACTTAAAATTTTGGTAGCAAATATTTTGCTTGACATGCAGAATTATGATACAAACACGCCTGTTATGCACCTTTAAAGCCACGATCCTTCAATCCAAAATCACGCCTCATTCAGGCAGCCCTATAAAAGGCTCGAACACAGAGAGAGAGACATAATCACGCTTCAATGCGCTTCAACGTAACCCCAACCTGAAAGGCGTAAACCATGACTCTACCTTAACATCACGCCTTCGTTCAAACATTTTGTAAGTCGTGAACTAGCCGAATTGAATCATTGTACAGTTTTCGAGAATCGAAGAGATAACCCACCCGCTCATTGTTATGAAAAGATTTTTTTTTTTTTTTTTGGAAAAACAATCAAAAATCGATTGGCCCAGTGACAAAAAGCAATGCATTTCCTTTTACATAGATTGGCCTTCTAATATAAATCTTCCTGGGACAAAAGGGTCGCACAGATTTTTGCTTGGAAAATAGGCCTGTGATCTAAGGAAGCAAGAAACTGAAAAGCTTAATGGAGAAATGCCCCTTGATATTTCAGCATTACATGAGATAATATTAAAGAAACAAATGTAGATCAGAGCCCTAGAACAACCACAAGTAGCCTAAGCATATATACTATCTAATACCAAGAGCTTCTAACAATTGTTTAAGATTTCTCTTCTTTTTTTTTTTTTTCCTCTTTCCCTCCTTTGTTCACTGGAGAACCTTCAACTACTATTCCATCTTCTTGATCCTGCCTTTTGACTGTACAGAAGTTTTCCCCCCACCAAAAGGCCTGCTGCATCAATTTCGGTATGCTACCCCATGACCATGAATGAACCTTGCATCTTCTTCAGTATACACATGAGTCTCATTCTTCAATCTGAAACAACCCCCAAGAAAAAAAAGAAAAAGATTTCATGTACTAAATGACAAGAAATGTTTGGGAAAAAGAACTCCGGAAATTCATTTGTTCTTTGATTAGTTGGTCGGACTTACGTTTTGGCAACAGTTTTGTTCAAGATGGTGGAGGAGAAAAAGGAGGCGCCACTCAAGTAGAGCAATTCTCCGTCAATTCTTTCTGCCATCTTCTTGTCTATCTTCCCAGCATCAAGACAAAATGGTTGGTCTGAGGCCTGCAGAATCAATATAATTATGTTTTACCACGAGCAAGTCTGCAACTAATAATGTTGTAATCAGACTAATATATAGACAATCAAAGTTTAGATACTGACAATGACCCATCCCCAAGTATCAGCAAAAGATGGTACATGAGCTGTGTAGGCAAGAACATCTGCACAAATTATTATTATTATTGAGCTTAGTTGTCACCATAATTAAGAAAATCAAGTGGTAATTAAACCCAAATCTTGAATTATTAAGGAGGCAGGCTTACACTTGAACACTTGTTTGATGGTGTTGTAAATTGATGAGAAGACCTCCTTGTGAGTGAACACACCAGCTGGACCAGCCTGGGGAGGGAGCAAAGGGTTTAATTGAATGATTAACGGTGATTACAAGGGCTTAATAAATATTTAAGCTTGCCCAAAAATAAATATTTAAGCTAAATTCAAGACTGATTACCTGAGTAACAAAGATGCCATTGTCACTGAGCTTAGGCTTGAGGATGTTTTCATAGAAAGATTTGGTATAGAGTTGATAGCAGGGGCCACCTTCAACTGGATCAGCCAAATCCCCCACTATGATATCAAACTTTTCCTTCCTCTCCTCCAATTCAGCTCTTTCAAGACATCAAAAATTATCATAATTTAGTTAGCCTCATTTGACAAATTCCATGCATGCATGGGTTTTTTTTTTTTTTTTTGCTTGTGCAAGAATATGGGGGGCTAAAATTATTTATCCTTGAGAAGAAAGACAGCAGGCTGGACCCACCAACTGCAAACCATGATGTTTACCACACTTTTATTACATCAAATAGTACTTATTAAGGTTGAAGGAAAACTGCTTAATTTTGTATTTATACAAGTAAAGTTTACCATGACAGTGGAGTGACAGGTTGATGATTAAGTGAAAAGGGTCCCATCAAGGCAAGAATAGTTAATTCTTAAAATTACAAAATTGTATTTTTTTTAAAAAATTTTTTTCCCTTAATTTGTTTTTAGGCCTCAACTATATGTTCATATAATTACATGAGATAATTCTATTATTTATGCATTTGACAAACTTGATGATTTTCGTCTGATTGCATTTTAATATCACTCATCCGTGCAATATTATATAACTCGGTTCAGAATATATATATACACACACACACACACATATATTCATAAGAAGCCTTACTTGGCATCATTGATGACTAAATGAAGCTTGTTGTTATGAAATGCATCATGATTTGCAGTCAGATACCTTCTGCAGAAATCAACAACCTCCTGCAAAAGACCCCCTCAAAATTAGTAGTGGTATTCTCTGCTACCAAAGAGGAGCAAGTTACATATAATTATTTAGAGAGAGAGAGAGAGATGGATGCTTCTCTTGTTTGCTAGTTTCTTTTTGTTCCCTTTCAGTTTCTATTTCTTCCCTCACCTACGCATTAAACCTAGTATGTGACTGTGTGTGTATGGTGTATGCTTGGATTTGCTAATTTCTTCTTGACGACAACAGAGGATGCTTCTATGAATTTTCAACTGGCAGAGGAGATGGACAAAACCAAAATAGTGGTCTTAGTGGTCTTGGTGGATGGATGGACCCCATCCACATAAAATGACACAGATGATGATTTGTCCAGGTTCTGATTAGGGATTAGCCAACTCGTTTCTTCTTGGTGCTATTATTACTTACTAAAATCTACCAAAAAAAAAAAAAAAAACAATTATGAAGCGTGGCACGGGCCAATTTGACGACAGACCTAACCAGGTGGCGCAGACACTTAAAATTCGTGAATGCATGAGACCGAATAATGCATTGGTACGATTTACACCATCAGGTTGAAACTTTTGTGATTGCATTATTAGCATGGCCAAAAGTACCATCAACATCAATCTTGAATTTGTATTTCTTGTTTTTGTGTGTGTGTGTTGTATTTTTTTTTTTGGGTCATGTCTCGAGTTCACTGTTTGACTGTCACACCCAAATGAAAATCGATTTTACGTTCGTCTTCACTTCTTACGGATATAAATTTCTTGAATTGTATGTAGAGATACACATAATTAAACTGAACGAACCGTGAGATATTAATAAATGCTCAGAACTCGTGAGACTTGATCGAGACAAACTCGTGAGACTTGAACCCAAGACACTTAGATCATCTGAAAACGGAAAAATATTATATGAATAGAGCTTAACGAGTCTTGCAATCCCTTCTATATTAAGATAAAAATATTTTTAAAAAAAAAACTATTCAAAAAAAAAAAAAAAAAGAGGAGGGTTGACCCCGACGCACAAGTGTTGCATGTGAGTTAATTGAGTTTGATTTTGTGGGGTGATGATAATCGGATGGAAGGGGGAGTACTAAGAAGTGGGTGCGTGACGAAGCATATTGGGATAGCATGCGCATTATTTTATGTCCAAATTATTTAGGGGAAGAAGGAAGTACTCTTCTGCTATAATTTTTCCATTCTTCTTGTGTGTGTGTGTGTTTTTTTTTTTTTTTTTTTGGGTGGAGCGCATGGCTTTATAGGGCCCCGCTTTTGTACACGCGGACTAAAAGAGCCGCACGTCCATGACATAACGTACCATGGAGTATGGACATGGACGCAAGATCATACTAAGATCGACAATCCTAAACAGATAGGGCTTTTCTAATTGTTTCATGTTTGGAAGGAAAAGGGATATCTAGATTGGTGCATACATTTGGATTGATACAAAGCAAATGCTGAAATTGCACTTGACTCGCTACTCTTCTTTATTATGGTTAGTCAAACTTATGAAGTATTCACATCTAATTAAAGAGTGTCTCAGCATGAATATTCTTTTTTTTTTTTTTTTTACATTAGAGTAAGATATCCCACGGACATGATATAAATAATATTTGGCTTCACTTTAATTTTGATCATGACAACCAATATAAGTGTAGATGATAATGCTTTTATACAATGTTGATTTACATGAATCGGTCTAAGATGTGTTGATTCATTGTAGTATGTGTTGCAATTACAGTATGTCTTTTGGGTCAGTATTTTGGAAAGAAACTGGACAGTCACCTGGTTCGACAGGTTGAACTGCAAATCGGTCACACATCGATTCGATTCTCTATTAGATATCGAAAGTTAATTTAATCAATCAAACTTGATTAAGAATCGGTTGAACCGATCAAAACCACTAAAAACCTAATTAGTGAATTGGTTCACTCATCATCCCGATGGATAACCGTGAATCAGAAATTCATTCGGTTCACTCATTAGTCCGAATTTAAAAACGTTACTCTGGATCTCTCAACGACTGTTCTACGAAAAAGGAAATATATAAACACTCACAGCAAAAGAAATTAGATGTCAATTTGGCTGCCTTATGGAATAATAGTAAGTTAATTGAAAGTTGAAATAGAGATAGGGACATCAACATATATGCCACACAAAGCAATAAACATTTGTAAGGTATTCCATCAAGGCCTTGATTAAGTCTTCCCTCAGCCCATCCTTAATTTGTTCCTCAAATTTGGGTCTCAAACTTGTGAAGGTAGCGATGATAACAACAATCTACACAATGTCACCTTATCTACACCACCACATTTATGGAATTAAACTAGTAGCACCAAAGCCTTGGATATATGCAAGCATTACAAAGCCCCGTTGCCTAATAACTTTAGCAGGTAGTAAAAGATATGCATACGTGGAATGAAAGGGGATTCTTTTAGTAGAATTGAAGAAATAGGCGTGCTAATGCATTTCAAGGCCACAGACGGCAGCCGGCAAGGAGGCAATTTTTTGAGGTGGGGGATCTGCGGGGTCCGCCCAACCTCAAGGGGGAGGAGGCTGGCCAAATTAGGACAAAGGAGAAGAAGAGAAATATTGGTAGCAGTAGTGTTGGTGTAGATATTGGTGTGTTTGTCTCGAGCGTGCGGTGATTCCACTAAGTAAAAATTGTGGAGTGCCCACTCTCTCAAGTCTCACCCTCACTCCTAACCCCCCCAATACGTTCTCCTCATCCATCATAGCTTCCCCCATTGTCCCCATCTATTTTTGGCTGCCTTCTTATGGTGCTAAAATCTTGCAAAATTGCCTATACTGCCATCCAATTCTTGTTTGAGCAAGAAGATATATTGGGTTTGGAAAGTGGGATTTGGGACCCCGTCCGAATTGTGCTTGTGGTGAGTTTGGGACCTCATCCAACGGGATATTTTGGCACATTTGATTGTCAACGAGGTTGGATTGATTCCATCTAAGTTCAAAGAAAGAAATTAGGACTGAGTTCGTATGTTCTTAGAATCGACAGATTATGAACCAAAATATAGAGTTTAGCTAACTATGAGTTTGGACTCGATTCGAAATAAGTCAGAAATCCCAATATTTTTATGAGATAAATATATGCCTAACATCGTGAATCTGATCGACCGTCCTAAGAAAAAGAGAGTGACAATTTTGGTGTAATGGTTGTGGTTGCAATACTTTCTTGAAAGGAAAATAAAGGAGAAAAGTTTAAATTCTGTAAGTTCGAGTCAGCCGTTGATTGGATCAATGAGGTTAAATATTCGACCATTTTTCTTACTTTTTCTTACGAAAATAAGAAGTTCGGTAAATATTCGACCATTGAAAGTTGAAAATTTGCAAGGAATATACGACAAAGTCAAGTTGATTCAACGATCGAATTTGTTGCTTCTAACCAAGTTTGAACACTTGGTCAAGCATTCAGTTCTGACAATAAAGCATTCAGTTCTGACAATAACCCAATTAGACCCTGGACAAGTTCTGGATTGGTGATGGAATCCAAGTTTGCCAACATTAATTCAGTTAAAAGGGTGATACTGAATCTAGGTCAAGAATTACTTTTGCCCGCTTGAACTATCCCACCTCCCATTGTAACTTGATGGCTGCTGTTAAATTTGCAGATTAAAACATATTATTGTCATCAAAATCAAAATTCCAATTAGTATATCTTTATTCTTTTCTTGTCCATGAGGGCATTGTGGTCACACGAGGTTGTGTGCAAAAAGGTGCGTTCATTGGGTTGTTAGTTGTTTCAAGTAATGGGTCGGGGAGACAAGGGTACAAGAAAATTTTTTATAATCAATCAAGAAGGTGTTAGGGTAATTATTCATTTGTGAGGGCGGCTCACAATCATTTTCAAGGCCTTTTTGGCCAAGTGTATTTGTACAAAAAGGCTCTTCCCACCTTTGCTTATAAGGTCTCCATCTCCACTAAGTCAATGGGTTCAAAATGCCCATGAATATGACCCCCCTTTTAAGGAGTCAAAGATTTTTCAATACAACTTTTTTGTGGCGGATTCTCTATTTCAAAAAAAATTCATTGGTCAAGCATACGTCTTAATTCAAGTTTTGAATGGCCCAGAATTTATTTTCCAATTCATTGACTTTATCATTCAAATAATACAACATTTGTATGCATGTATCTTTGTCATAGTACAAGATTTTTTGTTATTAGAAGACTATAACATTGTAATGCTCCAATAATTTGAATCAGCATCCCCAAACGCATGCGGATTGATTGTCAATGATATATATATATATATACATGTATATATAGGTGCTGGATTCGCATTAACGCACACCTTAAATTATTTCTTGTGTTTGTAGACTAGAATTAGCTCTTAGCCTTTGGAGGATAATCACATAATTACTAGTAGCAGAGCAAAGTAGAGAATGGTCACTAGGAAGTCCCTCTTCTTCGGGTACTGCTGGTTAGAAGATCAAATCCCCTTGCCAGCATCAAAATTCAACGAGTGCCCTAATGCATTCGTCTGGTCCAATCCGACTTAGAAGGAAAAAGAAAAGAAAAGAGAATGGGGTGGAGAAAACTCATATGTCCTTATCCTGGAGCTTTATTCACCAGTGACCAGTGAGTTTTGTGGCTGCTTGCTTGGTGTTTTGGTGCTCCAAAATCTCTCTCTGATCAAATGTGCCTTAAAAGTGCTTCTTGTGGGGGCAGTGAGGATTATGAGGTTTCATGGCTGCCTTGCACACGTGATGATATGTTGGAGGATGACCAAGGTATGATGTCAACTTGATAATTTTCTTCTTTTCTCATTTTATTGCGGGATTTATGGAATATGTCCAAGAACAGGAGCAATGATAATACTAATAATTTTTTTCTCACAGTACAAGTAATGATCACAAAATTTCATTGGAGTGGAAACTGGACCTAAATTATTGGTTTAAGATAGATGACAAGATAAGAAGCTCTTTTACTTTGATCAAGCTCTTTTCCTTTGGAAAAGCATGGATGGGGTCTAATAATTTGATTTTACAACCACTTTTAGTTGTAGCATGAG